TTATTCATATTCACCGCAGACCTTGTTTAACCACGCAAATAGTAGAAATAGTAATGAAACACGTGGTTAACACCGTGGTCGGATGTAGATTGCAAAAGTGATTACACTCGACAAGATACAAACCTTGTGAAGTTCAGACTAGATACCGCACAAGAATCTAGAAAACGTACATTTTAGAATAACTAAAGGCAAGTTAGATTACTGATGAAATTGTTTGTTTCGCTTACAAAACTGACATTATATTATAGTTATTTATTTAAGTTCTTTAGTAAGTAATAATGTAAAATTTACTACAAGTAAAATATAATTTGTGGCTCGATTGACACTGTTTCAACGTGATTTGAAAATCAGGAAATCATTAGGTACCTACGTAGTTTTCTGAGATTATTAGGTACCTATACCTAAGTTTTTCTTTCTGAATAAAAGTAATATGGTAAGCTGTCACTAACAACGCTTCGCAAGCATTGCAAGTTCTTGATTTAGACACAATGAGAGCTGTCGGAAAAGAAACATGTCGATGCAATTTCCTTTTTCTAATGAATAAAGACGGAGGATTTACTCCAGGTTTTTACAGTTCCATTTATAGATGTGCATTATATTTATGGCTAGAATTGCTGCTTACATAGTTTATTATTTCTAAAATAGTAATACCTACTTTGGTACAAGGTAGACAAAAACCGACCACTAGTAAAAAATAACTCGGTTTTATCCTGCAACATTTATACATGTACGCTTTATGAAGGTTATTTATTATTATTAAAGGACAACTTTTCTTACCATTCCCCTCAGTAAATGTCAATCCATCGCGCAAATGTTATTCTATTACGGGATCGTCGAATTTATATTTACATGATGGATGGAAACCAGTTTTATGAATGTACACACCGGGAAAATTACCTTAACGTTTTGAATTAATATCTTGAATATTCATATAGCCACAAATGTACGATACGACCTTGTTCTGTACCTCAACGAGTGAAAACCTGAAAGATCTATGTTTAAAGAAACAAATTAGGTAACTAAGAAACTTCTTCGGTATTTTCTATTCTTCCGTATAGCTACTAGTTAACTGAGGATCTCGTAGATGCAGTGTGCCAAGATCCATCAATGAATTTTGGCACAGCAGCGTCGTATAGATAATAGGTTGAGCGTATCAACCGGGAAAGATCCGGTTTGTTGATCTTTCAAGAACAACCCGAAGCAACCTTTCAAATATTGTGTTCAGAAAGATTAGAAAGAGCTGTTTTATAACAGGTTCAGTAGTGAATCCATTTCAGTTAGTAAAGTCTATGGAATAATTATACCTACATACAAACCGTTACGAGTGTAGGTACTCCAGTAACGGTGGAACTAAAAGTTTCAATTTTTTATAATGCAACGTTGCGCGATAGCAACTGCTGATAAGAACAGTGCCAGGTTGTAAATAGAGCTTAAAAACCTTATTCTGAAAACTTTTTCCACGGAAAATAACTAACAATTATATCGTGTTTCATATCCAACGTTGATATAATTCCTCCCTCCATTACAGTTTTGTGTAACTATAACTGGATTATTATTCAAACCCTTATTTCGTGTGTCATTTCCATGATTGTATTAAAACAACGAATGTTGGAGTCTACATAATTTATTTCTTAATGAGCTATCTAGGTTGTCTTTCAACAAACTAACCTACACAAATATCTAGCAGTATATAAATTTTCATTTCGTCGAGTAGTTTTTCAAATTGCGTGTCCGGACTGTGCAATGCACGAAATAACCCGACCTTAATTTGCGGACAAGTGAGGCTTGATAGAGACGACTTTGACAGCGAGTATGCTGAATTTTAAACTGAATTTTCCATATTTTTATTCGTCATAAATGTTTGAATGGACCTAAATTAAAAATCAACTCGGGCAATTTTTTACTGTCACATGTTGTTGATGAAACATTTAGTTATTCCCCAATCAATATACGAGCGCTTTTGATGCTTTATCTGTAGATAAACTTTACTCTTAACCCCAACCGTATAAAATAATGGACTAATCCCATGGCTCACATCGTTACTAACTAGCATGTAACCATGAAAGCATAAAAGTGTTAAACTTCTCTCTCAACATGGTCTATCGTTCAAAGTTAAAGCAGAGACCATAGTTTAACCGAGGACCAACTTTAATAGCTATAGTTGGGGCTGCCATTTATAATGTTAGCGAATACAATATTGGATTTAGTGAGGAAATTTAGCATGCATTTAAATGGCATATCTCTGAAATTAATATAACAATGAAATAAGCTTCTCTCAAGGAAAGTGAAAAGATGTTGATTAGATTATTATAATGCGTTTACTGAATGATGTCTTTTAGTTTACTGAATTTAAATTGTTTGAAGAGATAGAGGTGAGATGACATATCGACGATGGACATTTGGACATCTCCTGGCTGCTGCTAATGATGACAATGGTCCACTAAGTCTTAATACCTACGACTATTATTTGAAGTTAGTTGAGCAAGTTATCGAATCTTTAGCACAACCGTCATACATTTGTTATGCTTTGGAGTTAGAGGTTAAATAAATAATCGTAAACGGATATTGATTTTGTCCTTTTTGCATTAGTTTTTCCATTGTAAAGGCAATTAATAATACCTATATATTATACGATACGGAAGTTAATGTAGACAATATTCTTTTTACGCAAGTTGATGCAATGGCACTGAATAGCGTAGATGCAAGGTTTTTTTAAAGTTAGTACAGTTTTATTTAATAAGACCTTATCTTGTGTACAGTATAATCACAATCGCCCTTTTAGAACATACTTAGGAAATTAATAAAAATAACACGGATTAAATTAAATGTAATGCTAGCGCCAAACGCAAATAAATTCCGGCGCAGGTTTATTATTGTAACAGTTATTGGCATGAATAAATTGAGATATATTGTATATTTTGCAATGTAATCGCAAAAACACATAAACTATTCAAATACATAAAAATAAACAGTCATGGGTAATTCTGCGATAAATTATGTCATGAACGTTTAGGTGTAAGTATAGGATAAGCACTTGGTATCTTAGTAAAAAATTCTAAGGATCGTGCTCCAAACTATCGGGCCCGAAAATATAGCATCTTCCATGTTAGCTAGCTATATCTTGTTGTAATTTATTCCTTACTTCCTGAATAAGTCAAACGTAAGTCGTTTTCCCTACGGTTCCGTTGGTTAGGTATATGTAGGTAAGACAGAAAATGGCTCCCAATATTCTTGACCGTTCATGTGGGTGAAAGTCAATTGGTTACATTGAAGAAATCTATGATTCTGGTGCATTTTCGCGCAATTTATATAGTTTTTATATATGAGGTAAACTAAAAATTTACAGATGCGATTCTAGAATTTATTACTTAAAATAGTTTTTTTTGCACCACTTTCTCAATTGTGGAATTATTACTGCGTCTAATTACTTTAAGTTTTTTTTAAATTTACGGCGCATCCTTCAAGTAAAATGTCTATGCAACAGCTCTTCCAGGTACATCGCGTTTTTTCACAATATTAATTAGTATTTTCTCAGCCAGGTGGGGTTAGCGTGTCTATGCCGCATTTAACCTTCGTTGTAATTTCCGTGATAAATGTAACCCCATTTGGATTGGACTCTGCATTTCTGAACGCCGGGTTATGTAATACGAAATCGTTTCACTGTGTTATAAGTTTTATTAGTAACAAGCATCACGGGGCATACCTTTGTATAATAGGAATTATGGCGGGCATTTCGAATTGTGGCACGTCAATCAAGAATAAAAAAATATTTGGTACGACATAGGCATTTTTGTAATCCGACAAACATTTTTACATTAACTGTTTGATCTTCATTAATCTAGTTTGATCATTAGGCCCAGTCCTAAACAAAGAAGTCTTTGATATACAATGTACGAACGTCAATGTCTGTTCTCGTGCTTTTATTTGAAAGCAAACATTGTATCTTGTTTATGAACCCCTTTTGCTACAATTAGCTTCGATTGTCGCGTGACCTCGGTTACCAACGGACCTCCCCATCGCTCAGTGACATAGGAGGAGAATATAATGATGCGTCTGTCAGCGTGTTAAGATCGTGTATTGTATTGTGGGCGACAATCGGTTCTCCAGACACACTTGATTGTTTCAGTTACCTACTGTTTGTTCTTGTTTGAGGAGAACAGGCCGTTCTTATATCTACTATAAATAAGGTTTAGAATACTTCTTTTACATAAAGTCTATCATATTGTAAACTTGCCAGTTATTCAATCAATATTTGATTGCTTGTTAGCACTGCTGTCCCTGTTATGCAAACTAGCACACAAGCGGTGGTCGATCGCTTTTTAATTTGAAAAATTACCATAGCGTAAGTACTGTTTGCATTTTGCCCTATTTTACGAAACTAAAAAATCTCATTTTGTAATTGTAACTTTATAAATGTAAATGTTATATATGGGTTAAACATCATAAATTTTTTGTTGTTAAAATAATGTATTACAATAGCATGCTGATGAAGATGTATGTCAGAGCATCACCGTCATCGTCATATCATCCAATACTTCTACCGCTGAAAATAGGACTACTCCAATAATTTCTAGACATGCTGCACCGGTTGAAATTGAAAGTGACTTGCACCCAGCAGCTTCTTATGACCTATATGGTGATGTTGGATTACTTGTGATTGTGAACAAATAGTCATGTAGGTAGGTCGCTTTCCTCTCCAGCGAATTTCATATCCGAGTAGTCTAAACCTGAGTGGTCACAGGTATCGGAGTTTCGATTTTCGATCGACTCATGCTTGTTTGCAACGCCTCTCGCTACAAGGGCGATCCCAAATTTCCGTCTCAATTTCTCGACTGCCGGTCCTACGTATTGCATAACATGTGCCTATAACACCAGTAAATTATCACCACTAGTGGCGAATTTGTATTCTACTTCTCAAAATATACTCATTCTAGTATGAACCCTTGTTGGATAGGTGTGACGAATTTCTCAATTGGTTTATTCACTGCGTTCTTTACAATATGGTAGGTACATACATTTTCTCACCTTTAACGATCGAGCCGTTTTAACATGATACCAAAAACGAGAAATGTACCTATACAGAAAATTTTACTACTACCAACACATAAAGTGGACCCTTGCGTACTATTTACTACTGAAACATATTATACCTAAGGTATACCGCACAATTTAAAGGTACTGGAACAAAAATAAATTCCCCAATGCAGAAAACAAGTATCTAATGTAGGAATAGGTACCTACCTAAATAAGAAGTATTACATAGACTATTTTTTATAGGATAATTTGATAAACGAGCACACGGATCACCTGATGGTTACTATGGTAAGCCGTCCATGGACACCCGAAACACCAGTGGTATTACGAGTGCGTTACCGGCCTTTTGGGGATTAGAAATTTGATGATCTTTGGGAAATCGGGAATTGGGAGATATTGGCGACGCACTCACACGACGAAACATAACGCTGGCGTTGTTTCACGTCGGTTTACTGTAAGGCCGTGGTATCACTCCGGTTGAGCCGGCTCATTCGTGCCGAAGCATGGCTCTCCCACTTGGCTCTGATACTTAGCCTATTCAACTATTTGTCTGACATTTAGTTACTCCAATTTTATTAATTGTATCATTGACTTCTGACAATATTCGTGGTGTTTCACATGATTGTTAACCATTAATTCATCATCTATGAACTTTTTTAAACGATATGTTTCGCATCTCTCCTTGTGTGCACAAAGAATACCTATATTACTTTCCACAAAACATATAATTACTTTCATTGTCGACATTAAAAGAACAAAGTTGAATTAATACAGATATTACAAACATATCGACTAATGTTTAGCACATTGAACATTTCTAGTCCAATTCTATTAAAGATTACGTAGTTGTGATGTAAATTTAGCAGGATCTCAATTTATCCCTCCTCAATTTGAACACTAGGAACAAACGTTTGTCGGGTATTACACGTGTGTGCGCAATAAATGAAGACAGTCTTAAGAAGTGACGAGTCGAAATAATTATTTTAAGGCTTGAGCGAACACTAAAAATAAATCGCCAGTGTGATGTCATGAAAAGTGTTACGTACCTATCTAACACGCATCCGAGTATGACATCAGTTCTGCTCGCCACGATCATCTGTTCGCCGCTTGGATTATTATCACAGTTCCCACCATTTGTGATTCACTGTGTTTTTTTCTAGAGCTGCGATTAAATGGATTTTGCAGAATGTAGGTTTGCTAACTCATTATCGCAGTTGATACCTAATTAGCAAGTTGAAAATGACCGTTGTTTTCAGATAAAAACCGCAAAACTGAGCAGAATGCGCAAAATTGTTTTCACCATATACCACGGTTGTTAATTAATATCTTGAATGATGTCGTTAAACTGCGTTTTTTAGCTTCAATTGTGTTGTGCTGAATTATATGTTCCTTTTAGATTAAGGACCGATTAATATGACAGCAAATATTTTGAAGCTACTCATTGTTTTATAATGTATCTTTTATTGTTCTTTTACGTTCTAATGCTTCTATTTAAATGCTAGTCGTAGTGCCTCGATGATGTAGTCACCATCACAGTTGATACGCTCCATTATTCATAGGCGTGGACTTAAAACCGTAGTTTTCATGTTGTTTATTTTTATTTATCAAAGTATTACTATATTCTTACCTAATTTTAGCAAGCGCTCAAAATATTTATGTTCCAACGACACCCACACAAACGTGGATGGCCTGTCAATGTTGTCCTCAACATGGCTTTGTTTTCGTACGGCTGTTACGTCGCGGAATGCGTCATACGTACCTACGTGCATGTAATTCTGCGACAGCAAATCGCCCTGCACTCGGCTGCCAGCCCCGCAACATACGTTCGCGCCATACAGGCTCTGCTGGTGACGTTTGAAGGTTAAATAGTCTAGTTAACTGCCGTTCATGTTACACGCGAACTATGATAATCGGGATAATCGCAGTTACCAGTAGATGCTGGTGTGTGTCTAGGCTGGACATGGGCCAGCCCACTCAGACACTCAGAACTACTGTGACTCGTTCATGACGCCGCATATTTTTAACGTAACAAACAGCGCAGACACACTCTCGAGTGCCAAATGTAAAGTTCACTAACATAGATTTGGCAAGAGCAGCTATTTACGCGAAGTGTCTATGCTTCTAGCGAATAATCGCGGACCACGTAGACATTCATTCTAGTGATCAGCGTAGGAAGCAGAGGATCAAATAAAAAAGTACACCTCCATCAATTTACGGAATTTCTCACAAATTGTTGCTTCGTATTCATTTAAATAGAAAAGTCTTTCTGCCACAATGGTGCGTGATGATGAGTTATTGTCCTAATTACTGAAATCGCGTACGCTACATTTTATTGATTACACGCTATGTTTTATGTACGTTTATCATACGTTCTCAAAATTACCCACTGGTAATTATTCATGAAAATGTGGTTTATTCATCTGTATACCACTGTAGGAATAGTTTAAGTGAACACATTAAGTTGACGTAGAAGTCCAATCCTCAGAACGAGCACTTCTTCTTATCCAGTTAATTTCAAATTAATAATCCTTCCTCTCCAACTGGACTCTAGCTTTCATAAAAAGGATCAGATTTTAATAATTAACTCAGTGATCCTAGCGGACTAGTGGCGCACGTAGTTGTGCCAGATTATACTTTTTGCTGCGAGAGTAGCATGCTAATTAAATTTTACTTTGACGTCCAATTCCGAATCGAGTTCATGCTTTCTATTGTCTTTGGCAACGCGATTGATTTGTACCATATTGATGTATTATTTTTGATGACGATTGTACTAGTGCCTATGAACCCAATCTACATTGCTTTTATAAAGAGTGGTGTGCAAACATTCGTGATACGATTTGAAATCGGTGTTAATTATGGTTTTTCTATCAAAACATTTCAACCTTTTATGTCCCCGAACTGTCCCGGAACTATATGACATAAACTAAGTATCATATCGTTAGAATAGCTATGTAAGCATATTTCTGTCAGTTTCTGGCATTGTCTTTTATGTGCCACGAGCAACATTTTATCTAAATTTGTACATCACTCCATGACAATGGATTCATCTTGTGACCTAATGTTGTGGCCATATTTTTACTAACAATGACAGTCTCGGAAGTCGCAAGCAGCAATACCAATTGGCATTCTCTGTGATGTTTGTTGGCAGACGTGCTCGACAGTATGTATCTCCGCTCAATATCTGATAGATTGAATTAACGACATGAGCCTTTTATTGAGAGATTTATGTTCGTGCTAAGCGCATTTAATTTATTACTATTTATTTATATTTCAGTTTCAAATAGGTATTGCAAGTTTTAACAGCTGGTCCATTGTAAAACTATAATTTAAAGATTGCCTCTCTTAAACAGTACTGTTATCACATCTTTAACATGTAGTGTTTCAATAAAAGCTTGAGCTGGTTAATTTGAAATATCCGCTGCTGTTTTTCGACAATCATCGTAGGCTTGGCATTCATTGTTTTACTGTTACATAAATACATACATAACTCACTGATCATAAATGTGTCTGGATTAAAAAAATACGATTACCTCTGACATTTGAAAATATTTTATTGATCTGTTCACAGCGACAGCTGCATGTACGTTTTCATTGCTTTCCTGTTATTACTAAACGTCTTTTGTTCTATAACGGTCACCTTTCAAATGCGCCTAATTTATGACGGCACAGAATCCCTTTTGCTTTTCTTATTTTTAACCTCTTAGTTCGCGGAGTTCTTTTAACAAGCAAACATACCCATTATAAATATCTGAAGTTTCAGCCGAATTTCTCGAGTGTTTCCGGGAAAATACTGCAGAATTCAAACAAAGCAGCATGCTTATAGTGTTGGACAGATTAGAAATATGGTGAGGAGCATATTAGCCACGTTAGTTTTCTCCTCTTATTTGTTATCAACAAAGTGTAAGGACATCAATATGACATAATTGAAGGTTAAAGACTAAATTTAAAAAAATCTAGTGCTCTTCGAAGCCTGTTAGTCTATTATTACAGAAGAAGCTATATATACTAGTAATGCAGACCCTTTGATCAGTGTTCCAGGCCGTTGTAACAACGTTAAGGACCTTAACTCTACATCCACGTAGGGTTGTAATCTAATTTCATCCTGCACGCTCTAAATATACTTAGTGCATCCAATGTTGTTGGTAAAATTGGGTTCCAATTATTCTATTCTGTTACCGGGTTTACCACCGTTAAAGTAATTTAGTTTATGTGCGAGGAATAAAATAACCTTCAATGATAAATTCCATAAGCAAATGTCAAGTTAAAAAAAGAAAGCATTCCACATGAAAGCTAAAAACAAAAAATCTTTGCTGGCATTACGACCTTTGTGCCGTCATACTGTTTTTATCCTATTGTCAGTATTTTATAACAGTCTCCTCCTGCACGAACTCTTTAAAGAATGCTTTGAATAAAAAATCCGGCATGGACCGTAATGTGTATATATAATTTTTTATGCCATTTTTAATAAATCGTTATATCTTTTCCGGTATACGGATTATTTTTAGCAGTTCTTGTCGCTAATGTGAATGCAGTCGTATATTATCGTCATATGATTTGTACTGGTTCGCGAGCAGCAATAATTCTAGTCATTCTAGTTTCATTACAAATCGAGGTTGGAAGACATGATGAATGATGCAAGACGAATTAATGTGGCTAATGAATGAGGAGATCACTGTAGCTTGATTTTATCATGAACCGTACGCTGCTCCAATATATCAGTGTGTGACATTTTCCACAGGGAACGTGCCACTGACTTATTATTTCTTCACAGTTCTAACAACCTACGTACCTGCAAATTACCAGCCTACAATATATCATTAACGGAAAAGTACACAATGTACTAGGTACGCTGCAATTTTGTGATTAAACTTGCAACACGGAACATAACATAGGTACTTACGGTACTTACCCAAAGCCTGTAATTTCATAAATTCACTGAAATGCAATGTAGGGACCACTGACCAGGTCATACACCTGCCACCTGATTATTTATACATCAGTATGAATGAACGAGTAGTTTCTCGGTTTTGTTAGCTTTAGTTTACAAACGGATTTTGAAACTAACTAGAAACAGACTATAATAGCCGCGTCGATAAAGAAATCAGTTGTCATAAAAATGGTGTTTGTTTTTGCCATCATTTGCACCTGTGCATTGCCAAACAAATCGGTCTTGTTTACTGTGTCCCGTTAAAAACAGAAACAGTAAACATTGTTGTTCTGCTGACTTTGTGTTGAAGTTCTCAGATTGAGTTGGTACGTACGTTTGTAGTAGATTGAGTTGGGTTTGTTGTATTGCGAACAAGGGTACTATTGTGTCGAGTACCCAGAGATTGAAAATGTACCCAGGTCTATTAATACTAATGTATATCTGATTTAACAGTCCGCCACGTAGGGAGTCGTAGTTACTAGTTACTCTAGTTCAACTTCTGACATAACTAGAAAGCCGCCAACGAGCTAAATCGTTTAGTTCTGTTTTGCAATAACCGAGATAGTTAAGAGTTAGGAATCAATGTGAGGTGGACACTGCCTATCTAAATTCGTACACACGTTTGAAAAGTTGTCTTTGTAACTTCCAGCATTCAATAGGAACGCTTGGACTGTATTTGCAAGCGTAAATCCGGACTTCGAGTTAGAATTTCATTCTTTGTTTCTTAACATGGTATCTGTATTCGTGAAATCACTCTCAATTTGACCCAAAAAAATTACTCGTTAATAGAAGTAATTTAAATTAAATATGAAACGTGCCGAATGTACTTCACTACCAGCACTTTTAAGGGAAAGCTGCGAATGTCAATTAAAAACAAATTTTACATTCCCTTAAGGCAAGAGTCACGGAATTGCCCCCAACAAGATGTACCTATTTGACTAAGTATAGAATTTGGAATTTGTAAGTATTTTTATTAGGAGGTGTGGGTATCAGAAACTTGTCTTAAGTGTCTAAACCATAAACATATAAATATTAACACCATCATCTCATCGGGGCGTGGGAATGAAACATGAAAAGGTTTTTAGTGGGATCGCTCATTTTGCTAACCATTGTGCCTGTTAGTTAATTTGGCAAACTGTTGTTCATCATCACGAGTTACTTTAACAACTAGATGGATGTTTGTTGTATGAGTTAACTTTAAATTGTGATCGATTAAGCTGTATCGTTTGATTAATAGGGGCGAAACTAGATCAATGGGTAAGTAACGTGTTAGCTAGCAAAACGGAAAGATCGTGGCTTCGATTGTGATACTTATGTACATAAACGTACCTACCATTTCTTCATGATAATACAAAATAATAGCGTCGAAACCATTTCAACATAAAATCTGAGGCAATTTAAAAATAGTATACGCTTTAAACGTGTATACTTGACGTATGTATGACATCCGTAGATTACCTTCTATCTAATTATTACAAAAATAATTAGTAACAAAATTGGGTTGGAACCTTTTCACTTGAAAGGGCTAGCGCGGGAATTATTGTGAAAAATGTAAAAAAGGCATGTTGAGTTCGCTAGCTCTTGAATAGTGCTCTATGCGACGTCCACTTATGAATGCAGGGTTCCGGAGCGAAGCGCACAACCGGCCTCGAGCGTTTTATATGAATAATTAGTTATACCTATCACATGTAAAAGTAGTGAAAAAGTGTAAGGCTTTCAAGATATATTGACAGGAAACTTAATGTTCACTTAACAAGGCGCCTCTTTGTCTCTGAAGCATTAAGTATCGAGAAAAGCGAGTAGGTCCACAAAGATTTACGTTCTTTACTCTTTCAATACGGGGTTCTCGACTTATTTGAAGTGTGAAGTGTCTGCACCCAAGAAACTTGCTTTTGGAAGAGAATTTATAGCTTCCGGCAAAACAGTTGTTGCCAATTT